TGCAGCACTTGCCGCAGTAGCTGCGGGAGCAGTAGCAGCAGCAGCAGTAGCTGCAACAGGAGTAAACTGCTGCAGCAGCAGCTGCAGCAGCAGCTGCTGCTGCAGCATAAGCAGCAGCAGCAGCTGCTGTTGAAAAGTGGTTCGGAGGATTTGCTGCAGCGTTTCTGTTGTTTGAGGGGTGTTGTCTCTGTCTCCTTTTATTATTCTTTTAATCTTTTTTTATTATTTATATTTCAAGATGGAGACACAGCAGCAGCACAGACAGCACAAGGCGAAGCAGGCGGGGGTTAAAGCAGCGCGTCAGCAGCAGCAGCGAAAGAAGAAAGCAGCAACAACAGCAGCAGCAGCAGCAGCAGCAGGCGGCAGCAAACGTCATAACCCAAAGGCCTTTACTTTCAGTGGCGGTGTGGTGTCTGTACAGCGTAGAGTTCAGCATACACTCGACAAGCAGTCTTTAAAGCAGCAAGCAAAAGTAATAGATAAGACTCCTCAAGCACCTCCTCCTTATACTGTTGTTGTTCAGGGGCCTCCAGGGGTATGTTGCTGTCTCTGCTGCTGTTTATGCTGCTGCCTCTGCTGCTGTCTCTGCTGCAGTCTCTGCTGCTGTCTCTGCTGCTGTCCCTGCTGCTGTCTCTCTTTCTTTTTTATCTCCTTTTCTGTCTCCTTTTTGTTTTTCTGTCTCTTCTTAACTCTCTTGATGTTGAGGTGTATCTTTACTTTTATCTGTACACCTAATATATAAATATATAAATATATAAATATATATATTTATTTATATATACATTATATGTATGCTTATGCGTATGTTTGTATGTACGTATATATATTTACCGCGTATACATTGGGGTGTATCTTCATCTTTATTTTAATATATCTGCCTCGAATGAATTGGGGTGTATATGCACCTTTATCGTGATATATATTATATATATAAATAAATCTTTATATATATGTATATATATATAGATATCTTTATATATATACATATATATATCTTTATATATATATATATATATAGATCTTTATATATATATATATATATATATATATATATATGAAATTGTGGTGCATTGGGGTGTATACGCAGGTGGGCAAGTCCTTTTTGATTCGAAGTTTGGTGCGTCATTACTGCGGGCAGTCTGTAGGGGATATTAAAGGCCCTTTAACTGTGGTAGCCTCTAAGAAGGTTCGATTTACTTTTATTGAAGCTCCTAACGATGTCTCCGCGATGATAGATGCAGCAAAAATCGCAGACATAGCTCTTCTTCTCATCGATGCTCAATTCGGGTATATATACACTCCGATGCACATGAGACTTTAATCGTATTTAGGCTTCATTGGGGTTTATGAGGGTTTATGAGGGTTTATGAGGACTTAATAGGGTTTAGTAGGGTCTATTAGGGTTTATGAGGGTTTATGAGGATTTAATAGGGTTTATTAGGGTTTATTAGGGTTTATTAGGGTTTATTAGGGTTTATTAGGGTCTATTGGGGTTTAGGGGTTCAGGGATTAGGGATGAATTATTTCAGAGAATTAGTGGTTTTAGGGTTTAGGGCTTAGGGTTTAGGGTTTTAGGGTTTATAGTTTGTGTTTTAGGGTTTGTGGTTTATGGTTTAGGGGATAGGATTTAGGGTTTGTGGTTTGTGGTTTAGGGTTTAGGGTTTAGGGTTTGTGGTTTAGGGTTTAGGGTTTAGGGTTTAGGGTTTAGGGTGTAGGGTTTAGGGTTTAGGGTTTAGGGTTTGTGGTTTAGGGTTTAGGGTTTGTGCAGTTTTGAAATGGAGACATTTGAGTTTATAAATATGTTGCAGCTGCACGGTTTGCCTCGTGTGTTGGGTGTACTGACGCATTTAGATGTGATAAAAGATATATCTTTAAGAAAGAAGAGAAAGAAAGCTTTAAAAGACAGGTTCTGGAGGGAGTTATATGAAGGGGCAAAGCTGTTTTATTTATCAGGTGTACGTAATAAGCTGTACATACACCGCGATGTCGCTAACTTAGCTAGATTCTTGTCTGTAGCAAAACCTAAACAACTTCTCTGGAGGTCTGCACATCCTTTTGTAGTTGCACTTAAAACAAATGTCTCCTTTAACAGCAATAATAACAGCAGCAACAGCAGCAGCAATTATCAGCAGCAGCACCAGCAGCAGCAGCAGCGAGTTGAAGACGAGGATGAGGAAGACGAAAAACACCAGCAGCACCAGCAGCAGCACCAGCAGCAGCAGCAGCAGCAGCAGCAGCAGCAGCAGCAGCAGCAGCAGCAAGTATTGGAGGTGTATGGATATGTAAGAGGCGCTGTGCTGCGCGAAGGTGTGTCTGTACATATACCTGGGGCAGGAGATGTTAAGGTTTTGTCAATCAGCAGACAGCAGGATCCTTGCCCCTTACCGGCAGAAGAAGAGTAAGGGTTTATGTTTTAAAAAGAGACAATTCATATTGTCTCTTCTTCGCCTCTACTCATCTGTCTCCTTTTCTCTCTCCTTCCTGCACATTGCGTCTCTTCTCGTGGTTCTGATGTATAAGAAGGTGTTTGCTGTCTCTTTATCTCTGTCTCTCTCTGTCTCTCTCTCTCTGTATCTCTTTATCTCTCTGTCTCTGTCTCTCTTTATCTCTCTGTCTCTGTCTCTCTTTATCTCTTTATCTCTCTCTCATACGCTGTATGTAGCTCTGCCTGCCTTTGTCTCCTGTCTCTCTCTTTACATCTCTTTGTCTCCTTCTGTCTCCCTTTACATCTCTTTGTCTCCTTGTGTCCTTCTCCTTTTATTTTATTTTATTTTATTTTGTTGTTGTCTGCTGTGTGGTGTATGATTTGTTTCTGTTGTCTCTTCTTCTATTTATTTATTTATTATTTTGTTTGATAGTCTCTTGTCTGTCTCTGTCTCTGTCTCTTTCTGTCTCCTTTTCTTTAGAGAAGAAGCTATACCTACACCAGCTGTCTCTTTAAGCGAAGGAGACAGAGAGGAGACGCAGGAAGTGTCTCCTTCGGAGACAGCAGAAGCAGAGCAGCAAATAAACAAACAAACAAAAAGAAAACGAACAACAAGGAGACTAAAAGATAAAGAAAGATGTGTCTATGCACCTCATTGTGAAATTGGGGGCCTAAGGATAGATGATGACGCGCTGTATATACACCTCCCAGATACAAAGGCAAGCAATCAACTGTCTCCTTTTCTGTCTCTTTCTCTGTCTCCTTTTGTGTGTCTCCTTCTTTGTCTCTTTCTCTGTCTCTTTCCCTGTCTTCTTATACATACTGTCTCCTTGTATGTGCTGTCTCCTTATATATACTGTATACTGTCTCCTTATATATCTATATATCCTGTCTCCTTATACTTACTGTCTCCTTATACATACTGTCTCCTTATGCATACTGTCTCTATTTAGCCTGGGGCTATTTTACGTGCTGTCTTTGTAAGAAGAGGAGACAGTTATATTAATTAATTTATTTATTTATTTTATTTACTCGCTAGTTTCTTGTTTTTGTTTGGATTGGGGTGTCTCCTCAGGTGGGCTTCACCCCCAAAGCGCAGCTTATTAAAGAAGGCCAGGCAGCAAGCAGCAGCAGCAGCAGCAGCAGCAGCAGCAGCAGCAGCGGGAGTGAAGAAGAGGACAGCGACAGCAGCAGCTCAGAGACAGAAGAAGAAGAAAAAGAAGAAGAAGAAGAAGAGCTAACCGGTGCCGTTAAGATGGTGAGGGAGCTGCAGCAAGGAGACAATTTGCTGCAGCAGCAGCTGCAGCAGCAGCAGCTGCTGCTGCTGGATACCTCTACAAGGTGCCTAGACACCTCAGAGCCACCGCCTCCTCGCCGCAGCGCAACAGAAAGGGACAGTATGTTAGCTGAGGAGGAGCAACAAACGGGGGAGACCGAGACAGGCGGAGAGACAGACAGCGAAGAGACAGAAGAAGAGACAGAGACAGAAGGAGACAGTCAGGAGGAGACAGAGACAGAAGGAGACAGTCAAGAGGAGACGGAGACACCAGAAGAGACAGAGACAGACGAAAGACAAAGAAAAGATAAAAAGAAAAGAGACACAATATACAGGAGACAAGCAAAGGAAGACAGCAGCAAAGAAACACCAGGATCAATCCTGCTGCAGCACCTCAGCAGCAGCGGCAGCAGCAGCAGCAGCATGGGCCGTCAATCCCTCGCAGATGTGGTGTACGGACAGCTCTGGCGAGGAGACATGCAGCCCTCCAGCAGCAGCAGCAGCAGCAGCAGCAGCAAGTCAACAAACAAGCGCAACTCACCAGCAGAAGGGAAGCTGTCTCTCTTTGAGGATTCAGACGGAGACAGCGACAGCAGCGGCGAAGGCAGCAGCAACGAGGGGGGCCCCAACAGCAGCAGCAGCAGCAGCACGACGAGCAGCAGCAAACGCAGCAGCAGGCTGTACGGAAACCTGCCTCCGCCTGCTTCTGCTTCTTCACTGTCTCCTTCATTTGAATCAGGAGACAACCCCACAGAGGAGACAGCCGCAATTTATAGAGCGCTGGGGGTCGATCCCGACGATCCCAGTCAAGTTGAGGCCTTGTGGACCCCACAGTTTATAAAGGCTATCAAGGTCAGCACAATTCCTGCTGCTGCTGCTGCTGTTAGTGGTGTGTGTTGGTGCTGCTGCTGCTGCTGCTGGTAGCCTTGCTGCTGCTGTGGGGAACGAGGAGGGGAGGGGGAGCGGCTGCTGCTGCTGCTGCTGCTGCTGCTCTTGCTGTTTCTGCTGCTGCTGTTGCTGCTACCGCCAGATTGTTGCTGCTGCTACTGGATTGTTTGTGTTGCTTCTGCTGCTGCTGGACCGTCGCTGTTGCTGCTGCTGCTGCTGCTGCTGCTGCTGCTGCTGCTGCTACTGGTGTGTTGTTTTGGTGGGGTTGTTGTGCTGCAGCGTCAGTGCTTTATTACGGGGGGCTGGCAGGAGCTGGAGGAAGCGAAGAAGGCAACTGAGGGAAAGACAGCTGCTGCTGCTGCTGCTGCTGTTGCTGCTGATGCTGGGGAGACAACAGATGAACAGCAAGAGGCCGCGAGTGAGAAGGAAGAGACGGCAGAAAACTCTGTTTAATAGACTAGCAGCATTTTTCAGCGGTTTAGGGTTTAGGGTTTAGGGTTTAGGGTTTGATGTATAGGGAATAGTGCTTTCATTATATAGATTCACACATATATATATATTTGTTTATTGATATATTTATAAAGATCTGTATATAATTATATTTGATGTCTGTACACCTCAGAGGCGTCTGCAGAGCGAGAGGGTTTACGAGAGGCAGAGGGTTTGTTTAAAGGAGCTGAGGAGACACTTGGAGGCTTCCCTATAGGAGCATTTGTTAAAATAACTGTCTCCGGTGTCTCTAAACAGTGGTTAGAGGGAATCGAACCCGCGCGACCAATCATTTTAGGGGGCCTCAATGCAGGCGAACTTCAGTGCACCTTTATGCAGGTATATATATAATATATATATATATATTATTTATG